ATGAAAGTCCTCAGAGGCCACAAAACCCCAGGTGCCCCTATCCCGGCACCCCTGGCCCAGGGAGGGGAAGTGACTCGCTGCCCTACAGCTCCCAACGGTGGCAGGGGCAGAGTCCTCATCTCCCGGCTCCCAGGGGCTGATGCTCTTCCCTGCCCTGCTTGCCCTCGGGAGCCCCAATCACGTCGAGCCCTTTCCTGCAGGACAACTGTGCCCCCCCCCCCCCCAGTTCTCCCACCCGGAGCCTCCAGCCGTGGCCCAGGCAGCCCGACTTCTTGCTTCTCCAGAGCAAGGGTCACTGTCCCCCGGGCGTTTCCTGACCTGTGCTCCCCAGCAGAAGTGGACATTTCACTCTCCTGGAGGCTGCCACAAGTCCAGGCCAGACCTTAGGCCAGACTCCGCCTGTTGTGGACACTCTTGGGGCTGCCACGCCTCATCTGTCCAGCAGGGGTGCTAGACTTTCTTCCCCACTTCCCAGGGCAGTTGGCGCGGTGGGTGTTCCTGGGATCTGTGAGTGTCCTGGCTGCAATCACGCCCCTGCTGATCTGGAGCGCCAGGTGGATTAGAAATCCCCAAATGCCCTGTGTATCAGTGGCCAACAAGCCAGCAAGTCCCTCTCACCCACCTTCCCATCACCCACTTCCACTCCTAGAGCATACAGTGGGTGTTCCTTAGAGAAAGATCCTGAGTTGTGCCTGGACTGAAAGCATACAGCCATCGACTAGTCATGTCTGCTATGGGTGCAGGAATGGTTAAGGACTGTATTTGTCATCTCCAGTCTAGTGCTTGCCCTGCCACATGGAAGCAAAGAGCTGGTCTGAGTTTTGCTAGGAGGCTCCCCTGACCACTCTGAGGGCTTGAGTGCGCCAGAAGAGGGTTTATTTTCTACTCCCTACTAAGTTGTTGCCTAGAGCTGTGTTGTTTTAATACAGCAGCCAGTAGCACAAGGGCTAAATAAGTTAAAATCCAGTAGGAGCTGCATTTCCCGAGCTCAACAGCCGCTGTAGCTGGTGGTTACGATACTGGATAGCCCAGACAGGCGGATATTGCTGTCATTGAAGAGTGTTTCATGGGACAGAATGCACTGACCAGTAGCTCTCACCCACTGGTGATGGTGCCTACCCAGGGACATGTGGCAATGCCTGCAGACACTTTTGGCTGTCACCACTAGGGAGGAGTTGCTACTGGTGTCTAGGGTTCAAGGTCAGGGGCACTGCTAAACCTCCTACCATGCACTCAGCAGCCCCCAGGCACCCAACAAATAACCAGCCCCAAATCTCAGCCGTGCTGAGGTTGGCACTGGTCTGGAAGAATCATCGCAAGTGGGGGAAGCATTAAGAGAACACGAGGGCAACCTAATCTTTGATTTTGGGGGCCAGCATTGAGGTGAAGTGGATTAAACCTCTGCTTGAGACACCAGTATCCCATATCAGGATGGTGGTTTGAGTCCCAGCTGCCTGGCTTTCAATCCAGCTCCCTGTTAATGCACTCAGGAAAGCAGCAGAAGGTGGCCCAAGGGCTGGGACTCCCTGCCACCCATGTGGGAGACCTAGATAGAGTTCCTGGCTCCTGGCTCCGGCCTGGCCCAGTTCTGGCTGCTGCAGCCATGTGGAGGGTGAGCCAATGGATGGAAGGTGTGTGTGTGTGTGTGTGTGTGTGTGTGTGTTACTTTGCCTCTCAGACAAATCATACATGTTTTCAAAACTATCTTTGCTTTGAACCATAAGGGGGGTGTGCTATGGGAGTGAGAAAATGAGCCCCGACTGTGCCCAGGAGACCGAGAGAAAATGCAAGTTGCTCAGGCCCAGTATTTCCTCCTGCAGGTCCCTGACACGGCGCCACTTAATCTGTCCCTGAGAAAAAGCAGCGCAAATTTGTGATCTTACCCCTCGGCGTCCATGAGATCAGATACAGAGCCCAGCCTCTAGCAGAAAAGCAGCAAGTCCCAGCTTTGCTGCACTCTGCAGGACCTCGGATCCCTGAGGTCCCCCACTTGCACTTCTGGCCTGTAGAATGGGACTCCCGATTCACATACCCGAGCCCACTGGAACAGTCAGCGTGCAGGAGACCCTGCACCCCACAGAGCCACCGTCTCGCCTTGCAATGGCTGCTAACCCAGGCCCTCTCCGTGAAGTTGAAATTCCAAGCCCAGCTGGTACCCAAGAAACAGCTGAAAATGTCTCAGCCTTCTGTGGGCGGAGAGAAAGTCCCTCAGGGCCCTCAAGCTCGGAATTCCTGCCGGCCCAACCGTGGTAAACGCGCGTCACCGATTCTTGAAGGAACTGCCCTTTGCAGCCAGAATCCCGGCTCCAAAAAGGCAAATTACGCAGCCTGGTGAGTCACGCCCTGGGAAGAGGTGATTCAGGTGCTGCTGCTGTCTCTGGACCCTTCAGGCTGTGCCGGGGGTGTGTGGGAGGGAGGGAGAGAGAGAGCGAGAGAGAGAGAGAGAGAGAGAGAGAGAGAGAGACTGCTTTGACATCCAAGGACCTCGTAAGTGTAGTAAAATCATTTTTTTACCTCCATGCAAATGAGAGCTGGAATTTAATTCTTTTTTTTTTTTCTTTTTCTTTTCTTTCTTTTCTTTTTTTTTTTTTTTTGCGGCAGAGTGGCCAGTGAGAGAGAGAGACAGAGAGAAAGGTCTTCCTTTTGCCATTGGTTCACCCTCCAATGGCCGCCGCGGCCGGCGCACCACGCTGATCCGATGGCAGGAGCCAGGTGCTTCTCCTGGTCTCCCACGGGGTGCAGGGCCCAAGCACCTGGGCCATCCTCCACTGCACTCCCTGGCCATAGCAGAGAGCTGGCCTGGAAGAGGGGCAACCGGGACAGAATCCGGTGCCCCGACCGGGACTAGAACCCGGTGTGCCGGCGCCGCAAGGTGGAGGATTAGCCTAGTGAGCCGCAGCGCAGGCCCGGAATTTAATTCTTTCCTTTGAGGCTAATGGGGGGGGGGGGTGGAAGACGTTTTGGGGGAAGGGTGTACAGGGGGGTTGGGACTTATTTCTAACAGGGGAGCCCCAGGCTGCTGCCCAAATGCCAGTCTGGAAGGCAGGGACTGATCTAAGCCCAACACTGCCACTGCAGAGCTGCGTGTCCCTAAGGAGGTTGCTTTCCCTCTCTGTGCCTTGGTTGTAGGCTCTGAAAACAGAGGAAGTGGATGTGGCCCCAGTCTGGAGGGGACCTCTACTTTTCTCAAGCCTGCCTCCCCTGTTTTTCAAATAATAATCTTCAAACCACTTGGCTTAAAGATGAGAGAAGCCACACAGCACGGTGACTCACAGTCTGTGTGTGATGGGCCATTCAGACCATGGATCTCAACTACTGAGGACTCAGTGAGCCAGGATCCGGGAAGGTATTAGGGGTGCCGCTTTCTGGAAGCTCATAGTTCTCTTCAGATTTGGGGCTCACAGAAAGGCCGACTGTTCCCTCTGGCTGGACACCGGCCCCCCAGTCTGTGCGCTGGTCGGAGCTGAAGGAAGCCCCGTGCACATTTCCCAAGGGTGCGAGAGGATGGTGGGGGCTGAGAGCAGCTCCCTGTGGTTTTGTCAGTATCCCCACCCCTACCCCCACCCCTACCAGAGGAAAGGCCGTCCTACCATCTTGGGGCTAGAGGGGACTTACGGCAGGCCCACCCATAAAGCTTCAGACCTGGGAGGAGCCTGAAGATCTGTTTCAGAAGCGCCCCACCCCCACCCCAGCTCACTGAGTCTGACGGCGGTGGCCAACGGCCCGTGCTCGGAGCCACAGCTGCCCGGACGCCCAGTCTGGGAAGAGATCTCACAGATGGCTTCACCCCTCCACCCTAAGGTGTTGCAAAGAGGAAGCTGAGCTCTGATTGGGGAAGGGACTTGTCCAAGGTCACGGTCAGCAGAGTTCAAACCAGGCTATTTGTAGGGACCAGGCCCGTGTGCAGGTGGCACCAAATATGTATTAACTGGCGACATCCGGCACCTCAGAAGCCAGGAGACCTGAAGATTCCCTCTCTCCTCCTCCTTCTCCTCCTCCTCTTCCTCACTCAACACCTAAGGCCTCACATTTCCCAGCACACACCCATTGCACCCTAACACAGCAGATTGTAGGTCAGGTGAGTAGCCAAGACAGCCCTTACTGGAAGGGAGAAGCCTCCCCCCCGACCAAGGGCTGCTCGGCCCCCATGGGAACAGCATCTTTGTGCACAGCACAGAGGGAGAAACCACAGCCCAGCATGCGGGGGCCATGCAAGACCTGGAAGCCCAGGTCCCTGCACAACCAGGTCAGGGCCACCATCTACCCCCTGGAAGCCCCCCGAGCTCTCCTCTCCCAGCCTCTGCTGTGGGAAGGTGGCAGAGAGGCTGCGGGAGTCCCAGGCGGGAAGTCCACACTCGAAGCGGAGCCCCGTCCCTTCCCCCACCGCCCCAGCCACCGACACCTTCGGATCCTCTTCATTCAAACAGGTGCCTGGGAGAGGCTGTGCCAGCTCCCACACCTCCCCTCGGAGTTCAAAGGAGCTCGGCGTGGAACTGAAGCCCTGGGTCACAAACCGCCGTGCCCTCACCCCCACGACGCACACACGCTCCATTTGCTGTCCAAGAAAACCCCGAAAATGATCTTCAACAGGGTTGAGAGCGTAAAGGGTTTGGCTCGCTGGCCGTCAACTGAAGCCAAGCGAAGCACAATAATGCTGTTGGTTAAGAGGCCACCGTGGCAGATCACTCTCATGGCTCCAAACGTGTGTATTTTTTAAATAAGTAGCAAGTGGCTGGGTCCAGATGAGGATGGATTTTAAAGAGCAGGTGGGTGCTCGCCCCGGCGTTTTGTCCTGAAACATTTCCACAAGACCCTCTTGTTTCCCAAGTGAGCGGCCGCAGCAGCGGGTGAAAGGAAAGCTTTCAACACCAGAAAGGCCCAAAATAGACAGAAAGGGCCGGAGGCCTGTACCCGCAGCCCCCGAAAGCACATTCCAGAAAATCAAAACCTGCCCGTGAGCTTGCGAAGTGCCCACCCGAAAACACCCAGCCCGACAGTACCTTGTGGCCACAGGTCACAGGGATCCCCGCTGCCCGACAGGTCTCCCCCAGGGAGAAGTGAAGAGCCCCCACCTCGCCCGAAAAGCAGGGGCCAAGGAGGATCAGGAGCGCCCGGCCTGCACACTCACACACATCCCCTTCCCTGCCTGCTCCTCCCCGGGCCCCGCCTGCCCCCACCCTCCTCCGGGCCAATGTGACAGCAACAGCTGAGTCGACAAGTCATGGCTAAAATTAGCTTGTGAGCTCCAGGTCTGGCCAGGAGACGGCCGCCCGGGGTGGCCGTTGACCAGGCAGCAGAGAGCATGGACATATTTGGTGGCACGCAGCAGGGGAGGGGACAGCTCTGGACGCAAGCACATTCCCCACTGTCATCTCTGTCCCCGGCAGGCTGCACACCTCGCGCGCTCCTGCCTCTGTCTGCGCAGAGAACCAGGGGCTTGCAGGGATTGGTGGAGGAAGAGAGGTGGCTGGGCGCGTGTAAAGTACCCGGATGCCTGCTCCCCCTGGCCTCTGGAAGGGAAGTGCTGCGCGAATGAATGCCGGTGCTTCCTGGAAAACCACCAGGGAGTGCAAAAAGACCTGGAGTGCGGGCAGCAGGCGCCCCAGGCCAGGCGCCTAGCTGAGCGTGCTCATGGTCCCAACAAGGCTGTGGGCTAGGGGTGCCCCCATTCTGCATAAGATGAACTAACTTGTCCAAGGCAGTTCAGAGCCGCAATTCCAACCCAGACGGTGAAGTCCCCAGAAGGCGGAATCTTAATGGCAACGCCAAGCTGGGCGCTGCAAAAAATCGCTTCGTCCACAGCCTGGAAGGAGAAAAGCAGGGATTTTGATAGCTTCAGCACCTGGGGCAGGTACACAACAAGTTAGCAAGGGGCCAAGTCTCAAGTCCAGGTCTTGGTTTTATTTATTTATTTGAAAGGCAGAGCGTTAAAGGGGGGGGGGGGCGAGAGACAGATCTTGCCCCTGCTGGTGCACACCTGGCGTTGAGTAGGTGCCCCTGGAATCTGTGGTGGACGAAGTGGGAGCCACGGGGTGTGGAGTGGGTGAGCTCTCCGTACAGGAGGCTGCCTTGAAGCCCACCCTCTAAGCGGGAGGGAGCAGGTGTGCACAGGGTGCACAAGCACCCTCACCTGCCGGTTCTTGAGGTTGAATGACCGCATCAGCAGTGTAGGTGTGTAAAAGACCATCCCGGCCATCAGAGGAGAACCACCGCTGAACTTCTGAGTGGTGCTCGTGCCCAGCTCCCCTGGGGGTCTCAGCATGTCCTCTTGCCCCCTCCACGCCCCCCCCCACACCATGGGTTTCTTCTTTGAAAAATGGACAAAGACAGAAACAGAGATAGACGCAGAGAGATCTCCCATCGCCTGGTTGATCCTCCGAATGCACACAACAGCCAGGGCTGGGCCAGGCCAAAGCCAGGAGCCTGGAACTCCTTCTGGGTTTCCCACATGGGTGGCAGGGGCATAGTTGCCTCCCAGGGTGCACATGAGCAGGAAGCTGGATGGGCAGATGGGGGCAGGAGGGAAACCCAGGCCCCCGGAGAGGGGATGTGGGCATCCCCAGTGGCGTCTTAACCAAAGGCCAGCCCCTGTTCTGCCTTGTCCAGTGAACAGAAGCTAAATATTTCTCACCTCTTGCCTTGCTTTCTGGGAATCAAAGCGTTTTCCTTTCTGATTTAGACTTTTTTTTTTTTTTTTTTTTGACAGGCAGAGTTAGATGGTGAGAGAGAGACAGAAAGGTCTTCCTTTTTCTGCTGGTTCACCCCCAAGTGGCTGCTACGGCTGGCACGTTGCGCTGATCCGAAGGCAGGAGCCAGGTGCTTCCTCCTGGTCTCCCATGGGGTGCAGGGCCCAAGCACTTGGGCCATCCTCCACTACACTCCCTGGAGCCACAGCAGAGAGCTGGCCTGGAAGAGGGGCAACCGGGACAGAATCCAGCAGCCAGACCGGGACTAGAACTTGGGGTGCCAGCACCGCAGGCGGAGGATTAACCTATTGAGCTGCGGCATCAGCCTAAACTTTTTCTTTACATGAACTTGGCAGGGGTTCGGTTTCTCTCCTTTCGCTGATTGCCCTAGAATTTTCAGCGCTGGATTCTCCACTGCATTCATGTTCTAGCCAGCAGACGTTTTAAAAAGAGGGCTGCAGCCTGAACCAAGAGGCACAGGAAAATGCTTCCTTGGATGCAGCCCCACACAACTCGCGTTCATGACTGGTTCTCGCCCCCATGCTGGTGCTGGGCTAAGGGCTTGAACCTTCAATTCTGAAGCCTGATGATGGACGTTGGGGTCCCCTCCATGTGCAGTGCTTGCGTTGGTTCCATAAAGGCAGCGACAGGGTGTTGCAGTGCAGTGGGTTAAGTCACAGCCTGCGTCCCCATAGGGGAGTGCCCGGACACAGCCCCGCCTCTTCCCGGACCCGGCTTCCTGCTAAAGCACTCAGGAGGCAGCAGGTGATGGCTCAGGTACTCGAGTCTCTGCCACCCACCTGGGAGACCTGGATTGGAGTTCCTGGCTCCTGGCTTTGTGGGGCACAAACCAGCAGATGGGAGTTCTCTCTCTCAAAATAACAAATAAAATATGCTGTTGTGAATCTACAGTTTGAAATATTAGTAGTGAGTCTTAAAAAAAAATGGGTGGTGGTGTTGGGCTGCAACATTGGTATCCCATCTGTGCCAAACAGCAGAAGGTGGCCCAAGTGTTTGGGCCCCTGCCACTCACATGGGAGCTCTGGATAGAGTTCCTGGGTCCTGGCTTCAGCCTGGTCCAGCTCCAGCCATTGCCACCATTTGGGGAGCAAACCAGCAGGTGGAAGATTCTCTTTCTCTCTCTCTCTGTCTCTTAAATAATTTTTTTTAAAAAGCGAATCTGCCTTGAGTGAATACTGTGTGAGTTGCATGATGATCTAAATCTGTTGTACATTAACACTTATTAAATCTTAAGAAAACTCCCATGGGGTGTGTATCAGCATGGTCGACACTGTGCACGGAAGTTTCCTAGGCGTTGCCACCCGAGGAGGAAGCCGGGGCGGCTGGTCTAATTCCCAAACTGACTCCACTTACTACGTGGGGGCAGAGACAAGGCCTGCAGGCTCTCCAATCAAGACAGCACCTCCAAGAGCAGGTGAAGAAATGGGCATTTTACCCTGATATGATGGTTAAAACGTTACAGTGTGCAGCCCAGTTGTTGGAAGGCCAATGTTTGGTGTTTCCTCGCTGTGTCTCCCAGCCTCAGCCGTCCGCATCCCATCTGTATCTCAGACCCATCCACTTACATCACTAAACAAACTTGGCCTCTTGGCCCTCATTCAGGCACGCAGGGCTACAGCTGAGTCTGTGACCGCAAAGTCAAGGCTCAGGGCTTCGTCTCGGCAAATAGCCAGCCTGCTGGATTTGGAGAGGAAAAGGTTTACTGACCCCTGCCCATCCCAAGTATCAACGGGTCGGAGAGCCCAGGGAAAGCCGGGCTTCTGCTTCCTGAAGTACCCTCCTTCAATTCGGTGCACCTGGGGAAACTGGGGAAGGGGGGGGGGGGTCTCGGGGCCTGGACACCTCGGCCGAAAGGCAAGATGAACACAGCTATCCACAGCGCCACACGGGAGAGGGACAGGACACAGACGGGCAGCCTTTCCTCCCTGCCCACCACATCACACGGATTCGTCTTGTTCTGGCCGGAGTGATCCTGCAAGATCCCCCCCTCTACCCTCTGTGTGAGAACACTGGGGAACACCGAGGGCGCCCAGTGAGCACCTGGGAGCTGACCCACCAACTCTGTCCCCACCTTCCCGAGTGAGGGAATGGCCTGACCTCTGCAGCTCTCGGTCAGCTGCACCTCCCAGTGAGGGCTCCCTCCCGCAGCCACCTTCCGCCCGCCCGTGGAGCTGATCGTGGGGCCTCCTGCTGACTTCTCTGCCAGGTGGTTCTCAAATCGACATGGCAACGTGGACTGATAGTGACTTCTTTCTACCCTGAACTAGCAAGAGACAGTGTACTTCCTGTCCAGTTCAAGGAACGGAAGTACCTGTGGGCAGCAGTGGCTTGAGGACCACCACCTCCTCGGTTTCCTCTCCTCGTGTGTGAAGTGCCGTGCTCCATGGGGGGGGGGGGTGTCTCTCAGAACATCCCAGGGGAGCAGGGAAAGGCAGCAAGGGGTCTGCCTACCAGGGGGTGGGGGTGGGGTAATCAGATTGACCTTGAGTAGGCGGGGGAGGGGAGCATGGCTTGAAGCCACACCGCCTGTGCTTTCCACTCTGTTGCAACATGCCAGACACGAGGCACAAAGTTTCCAAAACCCCAAACCTGTGCAGTGAGCTGTAGTTCAGCCACCTTCCCAATCAGCAGCAATGCTGGCTGGCAGGCCCCTCTTCCCGTTTCTAGAACTCGGCTTCTGTGTGAGTTTCCCCCAAAGTCAAATGAGTCACCTCCTGGTGTCTTAACAGCTTGACAAAGAGAATACAGCTTGTAACCTGGGGAGAAATACAGCACAGGGACATCGGTATCTTTGTGCATGTCTTTTTTTTTTTTTTAATCGAGGTTTATATCAGCAATTTACCAACAGAGAAAATTGGCGGAGCTGCTCCAAAAATAACCATAAAAGACGGTGACGGATGGTGGCGTGCCACACATAGGGCAGGTAACCGAGGAGCTATCTCACACATGCACTAGGAAGCAGATACTGAGGGGACCACAAGCATGGAGAGAGAAAACAGGACCACTTCCAGGCACCCAGACTGACAATGTCTAGCTCTGGCTACAGTGTTGCAGATAGCGAAGGCCAGTCCAGGCAGACAGATTTCTGGAAGGGCTTTATCCTTTGCCAAGAATCTGGTGACTATCTTACCATACTGATGGTGATGTAACTTCAGCTAAGAAAAAAATGTCCCCAGGTGAGGAAGGCGTGGTCCGTCCCAGGCGCGGGTCTTGAATCTGTCCATCCTCAAGGTTCCCCAGAACAAGACCTCCCCCCAACCATCGGTATCAGACAGGAGGGCAATGTCTTTGAAATAAACGAAGGGGAGGGAGGACGCCATGACTCCACGTCTACAGGTGCTGTTCCTCAAAGCGGCCTTTGTGAAACACAGCTTGCCATTCATTACCAGAGGAGGGAAGGGCGCCTGTCCGTGCGCAGGTGCCTAAGTCGGGGCTATCAATCAAAGCCCGAGGCAGTGACAAGGCAGATGGTGGGAACCTGGGACGGTCAGGATGGAAGAAACGAGGGTCTCCAGTCCCGCTTGGGTCCGACAGGGTGACGATACGGATGGAGACCTCCCTCCCCCCCCACACACACATACCCAGCTCACAAAGGCCCCTAAGCAGTGCCCGCTGGCTTTCAGAGCAAGCTGACCGACTCACTGCAGATCGTCTCATGGGGACTTTTGTAAGCTACAGCCAGTCCAGAATAAAGCGTTTGGTACTGGCCAACAGGCAGTAGGCCTTCTGAGGAGGGGGATGGGAGGGGGTTTTAGGCAGGGCTGCTGGCAGATGTTACAGGGAAACTCGCACAGGCGCCCGCCGGCCCGGGGCAGAGACAATGGCGCTGCTCGCGGCATGAGTGCAGAGGTGCGCCCCACGTGGCTGCAGGCAGTACTTCACTCGTATTGTATGAGAAACAGTAAGACACGTTTCCTTCAACAACCAACTGTACCAACGAAAAGGAGCAGAAATGAGAGGGGACGTTGTGGGTGAAAGCAAGCAGGGAGTCAATACATCATATAAAATGTTTTTGTGCTAAAATAGAACTCTTGTTTTATATAGGTAAGTAATTCAGCAATCCTTAAGTTACCCAGAAAAAGCCAAATCTATTGTAGTTAAAACATAGAAAAATGCAATTTAACAAAAGAACTTAAGAAATGCCCAGTGTCTAGCTTATAAACCACAATTTACATATCACAAAATATAATCAACTAAGAAACAAATCCGATTTCAAGTAAGTAAAATGCACAGTTGGAAAATTTCTCCATTCTCTACCCTCACGTCAAAGACATTTGATATTTAGGACAAAATTTTTAATTGGAAGCAGAATTACCAGTTGGAAAGGATTCTGAGAGTTAGATATTGAAGTGCTAACTCAAAAAATCTGAGTGACTGAACTCGAAGTTAAAGTTTCTTCTACATGTTTTTGATGAAACACATACATTGTTAACTCATTTTTTGTGTTTTAATAAAGACAATTTTAAAATGTGGAGCTCAGCAGGTATCAGACAACACCAGCACAACTGGGTGGAGAACACAGCCAGTGTAGACAGCCAGTGTAGACAGCTCGCGACTCTGCTGAGCAGCTGTCTCAGTCTCGAAGGACACAGAAAATCTGACTTCCACGGTGACCTCAGGAGACCATGACGCATAATTTGGGCATTCAGCTCTCAGTCCTTCCATATTAACATTTTTAAAAAACGTGGCAAGGGCGCAAAAATTCATAATGTGATGCGAAGTGATGAATTCAGGCCCCTCGAGTGAACCTTACGTGGGAGAGAAAGCTCATGTTAGGTCTTTAGGAAACACCTTTTTGGGGACACTGAAATAAGCCCAGCCCACCGTGGAAGCAGGGCCGGTTATGCTGGGGGCTGTCCTGGAACTGCAATGGGGCTGTGACCACGCCCACTGCTGACCAATGCAACAGTGCCTCCCTGACCCGACGCTGCTGCTCCACCTCCCGGGGCTGCCGGGCACAGAGGTGGGGGGCAGACACAGGCCCAGCTTAACGTCCCGGCTACTTCGTCAGCCCGCAGCCCCACAGAGCAAATAAATAAAATGACCAAGTCCTGAACATCGTCATTGAGGATTCTTACCCAACATGCTCGGGACCAGAAGTGCTCAGATTTGGGGATCCCTGCATGTGCCTAACGGGGTGAATTCATTTACGCTTCCTGTACCTCTTCCACACGTGGCCGGAAGGGCGTTTCAAATACTGTGAGCTTTCCGCTGCCTTCTCACTGAGGCCAGGCGTGGAATCTTCCACTTGTTGGTGCAGGAAGAGATTCCAATTTTAGAGCAGTTTAGGTTTTCGGATCAGGGATGCTCAGCCCGTGTACGAGGAAAACCACCTCTGATATCAGGGGGAAAAATCCAGGAACTTTTTCTTTTTCTTTTCTTTTTTGACAGGCAGAGTGGACAGTGAGAGAGAGACAGAGAAAGGTCTTCCTTTGCTGTTAGGTCACCCTTCAATGGCCGCCATGGCCAGCGTGCTGCGCTGATCTGAAGGCAGGAGCCAGGTGCTTTTCCTGGTCTCCCATGCGGGTGCAGGGCCCAAGCACTTGGGCCATTCTCCACTGCACTCCCTGGCCACAGCAGAGAGCTGGCCTGGAAGAGGGGCAACCGGGACAGAATCCGGCACCCCGACCGGGACTAGAACCCGGTGTGCCCGCGCTGCAAGGCGGAGGATTAGCCTAGTGAGCCGCAGCACCGGCCAAAATCCAGGAACTTTAGCCCACCAGCTCCTTGGTGCTCTGTGGCATAAAGGGAATGAATTTTCACCAGCAAATTAACCCCTTCTTCCTTCGCCCCATTCCCAGGCTACTCTCTGCCACGTCCACTCTGCCTACCCCCCCTGCCCCATCATGGATCAGCCACCACTAAATGATACGGAAATATTTCCCAGGATTAAATCACACCAGAGAAGTCTTTTTTTTTTTTTTTTTTTTTTTTTTTTTACAGGCAGAGTGGACAGAGAGAGACAGAGAGAAAGGTCTTCCTTCCAATGGCTGCCGTGGCCAGCGCACTGCGCTGATCCGAAGGCAGGAGCCAGGTGCTTCTCCTGGTCTCCCATGGGGTGCAGGGCCCAAGGACTTCGGCCATCCTCCATTGCACTCCCGGGCTACAGCAGAGAACTGGCCTGGAAGAGAGGCAACTGGGACAGAATCCGGCGCCCCGACCGGGACTAGAACCCGGTGTGCCGGCGCCGCAAGGCGGAGGATTAGCCTACTGAGCCGCAGCGCCGGCCCAGAGAAGTCTTAACACCAGTGCATTCCAAAGCTTTTGTGCAGAACCCCATCATGCAAGACAGGTCGCTCTTGGAGAATTTTATTTTCTTCTGGACATGTTACAGTTCTGAAACTATTGGGGGGGAAATCAATGGCACCGGGAGGTCACATGTTGAAAACTGGCCCGACGACACCTTCTGGATCTTTTCAAAATAACCAGGAAAGAAAAAGAGCTACACGTTGATTTCTTCATCTAGTTAAATCTCTTGTCAACTGGGAGACAGTATTTTCTAACGGCCAATGAGGCCACGACACAGCTGTTTCTTATGTCCCCATGGCATAGGGCAAAGACACAAATCAAGCAAAATCCCACTCATCAACCCATCAGTCTCGGCTCTCGTGCGCTCACTGCTTTCTCCCCCAGTGTGCCTCACTCAGTGTTTGACCACTGCTTTCATTTTTTTTTATTATTATTTTATTTTTATTGACTTGAAAGGCAGAGATACAGAGCTAGAGACAGAGCGATCTTCCACCTGCTGCTTTGCTCTGCCAATGCCCACAACAGCTAGGGCCAGGCCAGGCTTGAAGCCAGGGGCCTGGAAGTCAACCCAGGTCTCCGACATGAGTGACAGCCACGGAGCTGCTGGAGCTGTCACGTGCTGCCTACCCAAGTGCACGTTAGCAGGACACAGGATTGGAGGCAGAGCCAGGCCCCAGACCCTTTGTACAGGACGCAGGCATGCCGGGTGGCCGCTGAACTGCCCCACCCCATGCCTACCCGGGCCCCTTCTTTTAGGAGAGAGTTTGAAACTGATTCTCAGCGCTGTGACCCATCAGAGGCACGGTACTGCTCACTGGTGCCGAAACAAGAGGCCACTTTCTAGACGTTTTGCAGACAAATCACACAGACACAAGGCAGAGGGAAAAACGAGTTCCAACAACGTGCACCAAAGAGAATGTTTTGGCTTAAAAAGAATAACCTTTGACTCACAAAGTTTTTTTAATTTATTCTCTATAAGTTATGTAGCAGCTTAAGGTAGCAATTATTTTTAGGCTTTGTTTCCTTGAGTTATGAAATCAAGATTATAATACACCTTTATAAAAATATCAACCTATTCTCCTTGACAACGGCACACTCTCCCAAGCACGGAAATCCAGAGTGAAGTTGGGTTGAACGCTGTTCTCCTTAACGGCTCACACGTAAGGCAGGTCAACCGTGCAGGTCAACCGTGCAGGACCGGGACCCACTTTAGAAACCTGACACTGCCCAGGGCGCCACCACCTCTGTCCCAGCTGGTTTCTCCCCTGACCGGGGAGGCCCCAGGTGCAGGCTGGGCAGGAGGGGGTCTTTTGCCTGAGCACAGGGACACCCCTGGAACAAGGTCCTACAGCATTCTGGCCTCTCCAGGACACCAAACCAGACCCCAACATGGCCTGCCGGCACCATGGGGCACAGCTCATCCCAAGCTTGCCAAGGGCTGCTCCCTTCCTCCGTGCCAGTCGCTGGGAAAGCATAAAAGTCCACTCAGGATTGTGCAGGGTCCTCAAAAAGTTCACGGAAAATGAATATTATGCAAAAGCTGTGCAAGGATTTCAAACCATTTTTTCAACAAAATAAATATCTCCGTTAAGTCCATTTTTATGCATGAGCTTTTCAGGTTTTTGGTTTTTTTTTTTTTTTGCTTTTTTTTTTTTTTTTTTTTTTGACAGGCAGAGTTAGACAGTGAGAGAGAGAGACGGAGAGAAAGGTCTTCCTTCTGTTGGTTCACCCCCCAAATGGCCAGGAGTCATCCTCCACTGCCTTCCCGGGCCACAGCAGAGAGCTGAAGTGGAAGAGGAGCAACCAGGACAGAATCCGGCGCCCCAACCAGGACTAGAACCCGGGGTGCTGGCACCGCAGGCGGAGGATTAGCCTAGTGAGCTGCAGCGCCGGCCCTATGCACGAGCTTTTCAAAGCATCCTCCTAGGTTTGAGGCAAAAGGATTCCTCAAGGTATTTTTCCAATTCATATTTTCTTTAAGAGAAAATAACTAAGTTCTATTGTAGAGCAAAAAAAAATTTTTTTTTTTTTTTTTTTTTGGACAGGCAGAGTTAGGGAGACAGAGGGAAAGGTCTTCCTTTTCTGTTGGTTCACCCCCAAAATGGCCGCTACGGCTGGTGCGCTGTGCCAATCCGAAGCCAGGAGCCAGGTGCTTCTCCTGGTCTCCCATGCAGGTACAGGGCCCAAGGACCTGGGCCATCCTCCACTGCACTCCCAGGCCACAGCAGAGAGCTGGCCTGGAAGAGGGGCAACTGGAACAGAATCCGGTGCCCCGACCGGGACTAGAACCCGGTGTGCCGGCGCCACAGGTGGAGCATTAGCCTAGTGAGCCACAGCGCCAGCCAAAAAATTTAGTTTTTAAAAATTTTCCATTTTATCTGACAGGCAGAGACCTTCACTCTGCTGGCTCACTGCCCAAATGTCCCCAGCGAGCAGAGGCAGGGCCAGGCTGAGTTGAGAACTCAGTCCGAGTCTCCCCTGTGGGTGGCAGGGACCCAGTTCCTCGTGCTACCCGGCTGCCTCCCGCGGGTGCACGCTAGCAGCAAGCTGGGACCAGCAGCAGAGGCGGGCTTCAAACCCAGGTACTTTGCTATCCATGTGGGATATGTCCCCCCAAGCGGCGTCTACACTGCTGTACCAAACGCACACCCCTTTTAAATTTTTAAAAATGTCCTTTTTCCATTGTGTCTGAAAGGCAGAGAGAAAGAACTCGTATTTGTGGAAGGCTTGGCTGCGGCAGTTCCCTGATGGCTCCGAACACCTGGCTGTAGCTAAGCCCCGAGGCGGGAGATGCTCGCGAGGAGCTGCTGCCCGGCTCCGGCTGGAGTCCCGGCCCCCTCGGCAGCAGCCCCTGCCCCCAGGGAGGCCGGGCCGGAGCAGTGGTGCTACCTGCCTGGCAGGGATGAGCACGTGGGACCCTCGACAGTCACGGCTGTGAGCGCCACAGCTGGGAAGACACCCGCCCCTTAAAAAGAGCAACTGCTTCTCTGTCCTCTGTCCCCAGTGGTGGCGCTGGGGTTTTTTTGTTTGTTTGTTTGTTTTTAAAGAACAGAATCTGCATGATGCTCTTCCCTTGTAAATCAGGAGAACACACGTGAACCGTACACGCGCCTGGTGCCCCGGAGATGGCGCAACGGAGGACGTGTGTTCACTGAAGCCACAATCAGGAACTGGGAAGGATAAGGAACCCCAATATTTTCCCCCAAAGTGGTTCCTATGAAACCACATATCCTTTCTGTGGATGAACCTCCAAATGTCCAAATGCTCCAAATACGGTTTTGTGAACAAGTGCTTCCTTCCCCGCTGGGCGGAGCACACAGTCAGGAAAACAAAGACCGTGGAATCGCCCGCCACAGCCAGGACAGGCTGCAAATAATCATGGAGTCAACTTCTTTATGCTGTTAGTCGTTAACAGAGACATACAAGAAAACTCTACCAAGAACAGGACAAATGTGGACTTTTGAAATTATTATTATTTTTCAGCCTATGGACAAAGGGGGACTTGGCGGGTTTCTATGACCCAGCATTTGTTTGGCGGCAACAGTGGGGCACGGGGGAGGGCCCGGCTGGGACTCTACGGCAGAGTCACGCAGCGCCCAGGGGTGCTCCACGGCGGGGGAGGCCAGCGGGAGCGCTGACGCATAGCCCTGACTTGTGGGGACGTGGCTGGTCTCCCGCAGTCTTTTTTTCCCGGATCAAATTCATCTTAAATGACACTAACACGTAAAATGAAGCAATTCTTTTTCTTCTTTGACACATCCCTGACTGACGCCTCCCGGGGTCGGACAGGAGGAGCCCACGGCCACCTGTCCGGACCTGAGACAGACGCGGGCAGGTGCCGGTTATCGTAGCACAATGCACTTGGCGGGGGGGGGGGGGGGGGGGGGGGGTTGAAAATCGCTGTTTTCCCCTGAAATCTCAAACTCCACCGTTTCTCCAGCGGAATCCCTGCACAACCTTTCCAGTGATTGACAGAAGAGTGTCTTGGATCATTCGCGACTCCCATATGTTTTGAGAATGTGAGCCCATCACCCCCAGGGAAGTGGGGGCCCCTCAGAGCAGATGCCGGGGGCGGGGCAGGCGTGTCAGGCCCCGAGGGCACCCTGGCCAGGGGGCATCTTCAACTTGGAGTCCCAGGACGAAGATGGGACATGGGTTCCACAGGGCACAGCAGCAACACGGCCCGGAGCTCGGAGCTCGGATGCGGAGAACCCGCGGTGGCCGGCTACCCCACGGAATCCGGCAACGCTTCGGGCTGCAGATGCTTCAGTTCCATCCCAGAAAGTCCAAGGTATGTCTGGTACCAGACATAGACAGTTACGTGGAGTCACCTCAAGTTCTAGGTTCGCAGATTCCAAAATCAGTGTGTAGCCAAGAAAGAACTCGGATTCCCTCAGTAGTCTGGAGCGTGGACAGACGCTGTCCAGCAGGGGGCGAGGCTGGCCCTGCCTGGGGCGTGCTCCCCACTCCTACTAGGAGCACCTGGCGCCTTGGGTCTTCGCCAGCCACGGAGAGACCCCTGCGTGGGCACCTTCTCCCGCAGGCTCTGATTCAAGGGCCCAGCCCCCCCGGGGCCGACTCCCGGAGGACGCGTCTGCCCCTGGGGGTCAGAGGCCGTTGCTGTTCCTGTGACACAGGGGTGGCTTGGAGAGCTCCATGACGCCCGGCCGGGGTTTGTTGAGGAACTTGGGCGCCCGGCGCAGGAGCCGCTGGGCCTCCGTGAACGTTTCCGTCAACTCCTTCTTCCACTGCACAAACTCTGGATCGCTCTGGGTGGGAACATGAAGGCAGAAGCTGTGCCGGGTTCGCCCGTGCCCCCTGCCACTGGGGGCACCCAGGGGACGCTCGCTCGCCCCACTCGCCTGCCCCGCAGCGGGGCTGACCACCAGCTCCCAAAGCCCCCTGGGCGAGGCGGGCACAAGCCCTGCCCCTCCGCACCCCCATCCCCACTGCAGTCACCACCCTCCACTTGCCATGACCTTGGGTTTCTAAGACCACTGGAGCCCGTGGGACATCTGCAGGTGGGTAACACAGCAACGGAGTTACCAAACGCGTGCTTCTGCCCCTACCACTTGCTGGGCTCTCAGTACACTTGTAACACACACACACACACACACACACACACAGCTGAACACCAGCAGGAAAGCGTTCAGGAGTTAACTCTGAGAAAGCGAGGAGGGCCCTGCCTGGCCCCTACAGAAGTCCCCCTGGCATCTGACGCTTGCTTACGCGTGCAAAGCTCACCCTCCAACGCGCTCGCGGACGAGACCGGGGAGTCCCACGGCAGACGGCAGGCTGGGCCCTGTTAGAGCCTGCACAGGGTTTCCAGCTGCCGCAGTCAAGTCGCTTCGTGTACTTCTTCCTGAAATTTCCTCATCCGAGCGCGCGGCAGAGTTCACGGGGGAAAATGCAAACTCACCTCACACTGCAAGACGAACTGCTTCCCTGCCTTTATTCTGAACAAGATGCATTTTTTGTCTTTAATCTGCGTTTCTTCCACAGATACAATCTGCTCCATTGTCAGCAAACTTTGCTAACCGCAAAAATAAAAAAAAAATCAAACATTAGTTGCATTCATCTCATGGCTTCGTGAGTTAAAAAGCGACAATACCAAAGGCCTAGGACATGCTCAGACAAAATGGCATTTCGCTCTGTTTGAGGACAGTTCTGGAAATGAGGAGAAAGGGCCACACAGGCAGGCGGATGGAAGCTCCAGCTATGGGATCTCACAGAAAACCGCAGAGACAGAGCCGTCCCTGGGAGGCCGGCCAGCAGAGCTGCCCCTCCGCACAGAGCTGATCTGTGAACGGCCCTGGGTGGGAGACAGAGCTGATCTGTGAACGGCCCTGGGTGGGAGGAAGCCTTCTTGTCCCACTCTCATTAATTCTATCCACCAAGTCACGAGGGAACGAGGCACCACCTGCTGACCGTCGTGAGCGACAGGTGCACAGCCCAGTCTAACACAGCAACCCAAGAAACGCATCGAACAGTAGTTGGATGTCAACATGGAGGCACACAGACAGGTGACATCCTTACAAGACAGCCACAGGGGGTGACAGCGCGGCTGCCTCTGGCCTGTGCTACAGTGTCACGAGTCCCTCACCATGCTGGGTTCCAGTTTGGATAAATACCCCAGGGATCCTAAATGAAAAACACCACCATCGCAACTCCGTGTTTCCTTCCTTCCTTCCTTCCTTTCTCCCATCCATCCACCCATCCATCCCTCCTGCAGCTTACATAGCTTCTCAACTAGAACGCTAGGCATGAGGACTCTGAAAACCAGGATCACTTTCCACAAGTGATGTAAAGCAAGGGAAATTCGTTTTGCACTTGTTTTTTCCCAATGCAAAGGTGAAAAGATTTCCTCTCAATGTCTGTGACAGTGACTTGCCAGCGGACAGCAGGATGAACGCTCAGGTTCACTCACTGTCTGCAAACAGACGGGACTTGGGGAGCGACGTCAACGCTCCACCAGCAGGGGAATCGTCACTCATTGAGAAGGGATCTTACTAATGGGAATGCAAGTCCTGGCTGTGTTAATTTTAAAGACGACTTTTAAGGCAGGTGGGGGCCCCGACGGCCACGAACAACGGCCGTGACAATGGGGACCACGGTCCCACTCACGACGCTGAGCCACACCACACCCCAGGGTGACAAGCCCCGGCTCCTCACACAGCAGGACCGCTTGGTGCACTCATGGTGCCGTGTGGATCAGAAATTCCTCTTCATCTTAGTCAACAGCGTTAGCTCTCAACGGGAGCGACATCTTCCAAGTTTCCGACCTACAGCTGTCACAGTGGACACGTGCAGGAGAAGCTGTGTGACCGCGGGAGGGCACAGGCAGACCTCACCCCACAGCTGAGCAGCGGGGTCACTGGGGGCCAGGCCCCCACTCTCTGGGCTCCCTGGTTTCCTCTTTCTAAAAACAACCCCCATAGATGACTAAGCAGACTGTGGTTGTAACTTTAAAAAAATAGCACCTGCAGAACATGCAAAAAAATCCCTGCAGCTTTTATGATTTCTGAGCCCCACTTCACAGATGGGGAAACTGAGGCTCAGAGCCACTGCCATGTGCTCGAAGCCCCAGAGACACAGAGCAGCGGATCTGACAAACCTGTGCGACTCGGGTGGCCCACCTGACCGCATCCCCTGCCCGCCTCGAACCCCTGACCACGTGGGCTTCCCACCCTCCAAGAGGCAAGCTCTCCTGAGTTCCTGTTGGACATGGCCTGACTCGCAAGCTTAAGCGTCAGGGTTTGAGCAGGGCGACCTCGGATGCCCAGGTGAAGACGCACTCACAGGTGTGGGGAAGGGGGTGGGGGTCCTTGAGTAAACAGGCTGGCGACACGGAGCGAGCACGCATGCGTGATGAGGCCCCACCCCACCCCGCCCTGCAAGGCAGCCGCGACTCACCCGAGACTCGCCCTCCCCTCTCCACTCGAGCCGGTTGGGGAAGAGGTAGAAGTAGCGCCGCTGCCACTGCGTCAGGAAGGGGCTGCCCAGCTTCAGCATGTACCCGTGCATGATGCAGTCTCTGCCCAGGGCGTAGTCTGCGGCCAGAAAGGGACCCTGAGCGACACCGGCCGGGAATGCGGCGTCCCGGCCGTCTCTCTCTCGGAAAAACCAGAGGCTTCCTCCCGGGGAACATCGAGCCCCTCGCAAGGGGACACGGGACACGGGACAGATGCCCCGTGTCAGGCTGGACACACGTGTGAGCTGCGAGCGTCAAGGCGGGGGTGGGCAGCTCCCACGCTCTCTCCACTCACACACTGAACGGTGCCTCCTGAGCAGCTCGGAGACCCGGGCTGTGCCTTTATCACCCTCGGAGGGCAAGAGCTTGCCCGACTCTGGTATTTTGTTACGCGTGGGTAAGGGGCATCTGAGATCGGGGGCTCCTTTCACTCCAGCCAGCCCCCGGGACCCCTGCCTTGACCTCACCTTGTGTCAATAAACAAGAGCAGAGCTTTGTTGCTGCGTCAGCCAAGCAACCCGGGGGCCAAAGTGCTTCAGGCCTCCACTGGAGGATATTCTACATCTTACAGAATTACATTTTACAGTGAAGTACCATTTCTTAACAACTTAAAGTTGATTTTTCAAAGTTTTCCATTGTATTTGAAAGGCAGAGAGAGAGAGAGACTGAGTTGATCTTCCATCTGCTGATTCAATCCCACAATGCCTGCCACTGATCGGCTAGAACAGGCCAAAGCCAGGAGTTCACAACCCCATCTGGGTGCATCAGGGACTCCGGTACTTGGGCCAGCACCTGTCACCTCTCAGGCCGTGCACGAGCGGAAAGCAGGAAGCAGGGGTCAGGAGCTGAGTCAGGACTCAGACCAGGCCCTCTGATGTGAGGTACAGGTGTCCCAAGCAGCGACTCCACCCCTGCACTGAGTGCCCACCCACAGAAGGTTCACGTTCAAGGCTTCCTCAGAGGCGCTGGCGACTGTCAGAAGCATCCATTCACTCCTAGCTCCTTCACCATGGTGCTGTGAACGCTGAGGGGCTAGGCAGGTTCGAAGCCCTCCTGATTCGGCATTAAACGATGACAACAAAAATCCCCACTCTCAGAAGGTTGTGACCCCGAAAGAGTCCATGTCAGGCCACAGGGGACAAGCGGGAGGGAAAAAGAAGAGGGCAGAGAGGCCAGGGAGGGGCAGTGATGAGGAGGGGGCCTCCTGGGGGTGCCGTTGTAATAATAAAAAAGCTTGCATTTCTGAAGTATATTTACAATTCACATCTTTTAAAAATCTGAGTCTAAGCTGTATTTTTCTGTAAAGGAGACCTCTGAGGTTATCAACCAAGATCTAGTTACGCACAAATTACTAACACACAAAGACAAACGCATTAGCTTGTTGGACATTGTGTCCAAGCCAAGCTCTAACCAAGAGGCCGCGGTCTGACACGGTCCTGAATGTGGAAGTTTTCCTGGGCCCAGTTTATCGGGATCCCAGGGACACCCCACCTTCCCCCTTGTGTAAAACGTCACGTGTAAAATCCACCCCGGGGGCAGGCGTTTGGAGCAGCAGCGGAGCCACCCCATCAGAGGATCGCTTCAAGTTCCACCTGCTCCACCTCTGATCCAGTTTCCTGCCCATGCACTGGGAAGGCAGCACACGGTGGTCCTAGTACCGGAGACCCCACCACCCAGCGGGAGACGAGGATGGCATTCTAGGCTCCCCGCTCCAGCCTGGCTCAGCCCTGGAGGCTGTGGGCATTTGGGAAGTGAACCAGAGATTCGCTCTTTCTCTGTTTCTCTCTTCCTTTCAAATGCATAACGAAACGTTTTTAGAGAGTACTTAAAAATAAATAAAACCTCCAGCAAACACGAGCCAGTGTGAGCCCAGTGGCGGAGTCCCTGCAGGACCGGGGCAAGCAGGGGTACGGGCTGCTCCTGTGGCGCACTCTGGCAACCTTCATGCAAGCAGCAAGTCGTGGAGGCTGGAGGGCACCCTTGCACGTGGATGGTAAACACTACGGGGAAACGGTCAGGTGAGACCAGTGAGTCCCACGGCATCCGGCCAAAGCGACCACGCAGCAGAACAGAAGTGTTCCTGGTCGCTCCTGTCAGACGAGCTTGACCTCACAAGGGCCTTCTCTTCGGGGCACAATGAAATGCTATCTTACCAGCGTCATCATCAACTGCATTAAGCTTAAATATCCAACATTAGCAACATCTTAGGAAAAGCAACGGAAACAATATTGAGTGAGAGAATAACTGATGTACTTAACACTCCATGTCACATTTTCTACTGTAGAAAGCCTAATAGTGCACTTGATTGTTTATACAAAAATATACAGTCTTTCTGGGAGGCAGCATTGTGGCACAATGGGTTAAGCTGCCACCTGCATCCCATGTGAGTGCTGGTTCGAGTCTCAGCTGTACCACATCTGATCCAGCTCCCTGCTAACAACCTGGAAAGCCCACAGAAGACGGCCTAAGTGCTGGGCCCCCTGCCTCCCGCATAAGACATCCAGATGGAGCTCCCAGCTTCTGGCTTCAACCCGGCCAAGCCCCAGCCACTGCAGTCATCCAGGCAGTAAACCAGACGATGGAAGATTCTTTCTCTCCCTCTCTCTCTCTCTCTCTCTCTCTCTCTCTCTCTCTCTCTCTCTCTCATCACTCTGCCTTTCAAATAAACAAATCTTTAAATATATAATTGGCCATTCTTTAATGCTGTAATATAAATGTGTTTATACATTTGTGTGTCTTGACAAGTGACAATGTCACACCCAGGTGCTCGCTACGACTGGCTCTGCCAGCACAAAATGAAAATGCAGGTTCCTTGTTAGATTCTCAAGATGGTAACAGTAACAGCAGGAAAGCAAGCCCAGAGCCCTGTGTGCGTGCACGGCTCACACCCGGCTCACACACACAGCTGGCTCTAGTCCCAGCACGGCAATCAGCAATCTTAAAGGAACAAACTTCCAAACCGCCCCCAGCACTCCAAGAGCAGCGCGCAGACTGAGGGCGCAGTTCTGTGGCCGTGCCCTGTGACGTGTGTGTTGACCGGGTGCTCTGAGATAGTGCGCTGAGCTCATCCACACCCCATCCAACTAAAACCACGCGTGACATCACCTCCTTCTTCCACTAGAAGACTCTCTGGGACCCAAACCCTTCCTCAGCTCTACAGGGCTTTGGCAAACGCGCTGCGGCAAAAGCGACGGAGACCCGTGATGACTTTACCTTCCTCATGCCCAAGCTGCTTATTTTTCGCTCTCTTCCTGGCCTCAATTTTATCCGTGTCCGCGTTCACTGCTTCGTACACCGTTTCGGCGACTTCCTGCTGCCAGCGCTCGGAGATGACCAAGGGGAAGTTCTTGTACAGCTCTTGGTCGCAGTCCAGCAGCTTAGTATTGCAAGAAAGCAAAGATGTTGGTGATCAAACATTGCTCACAAAGAAACAGACTCCACAGTGGCACAGCCCTGGGGCTGGGCACCCTCGGAGGACTGTGCACGAAGCCCGAGTGACAGGTGACCACTGCTGATGACCCGCAGTTAGGACAGACCGGGGCTTCACTCCCAGGCCCGCCAGGGCTGGCCCCAGCCTGATCTTCCATACTGCCCTCACGACACTTTGCCAAGGAAAACTCAGACAGACAGGGTTTTCCTTGAAGTACTAACAGAATCGGACCCCCCAAAATGAAGACCATGCCGATCATGGTGAGGATGCTTGTGAGAGTAGGGACAGAGACCCCTAAAGTTTCAGAATCGGCCACAGAGGAGAAGCCAAGTGGCCTTTCTGACCCAGCCCTCAGCTGAATGGGAAAGCCAGGAAAACCAGGCTGACTTTTCCATTCATTCTGTGACCTTTCCAACTCGGCACAGGTTAGCAGTGGAATCTTGTGTGTAAGAACCATGCCCACACCCATGGGTGGTTTGGGCAACAGGGCCTCTAAGAGGGGCTGTAATGGAAACTTCGCTGTGGCTGCGCTTTGCGAACCATACCACGGGAACAGCCAAAGGCCTGCGCCACAGCCTCCCAACAGTGACTCGGGCCTCCGCAGAGACTTGATCCGCCCACTCCCCTGTCTAAGAGCTAAAGGGGAGAGATGGTGCCCCCGGCCACGTGCATGGAAGCCCACAGCCCTTGGGCAAATGACCGTGTGCCCCGCGTCCTGACCTGGGCGGGTCCCCATCTGGTCTCGCTGACCTAGTACAGTAACACATCGATTTGGAGGCCACTTTGGTTTGAGAATCTCTGCTGCTGTTTCCTCCTGAGCCCCACGCTGAGGTCCTCCCACGTTCTGAGCGTGATATTCACATGTACTCATGTGTGCATGCGTGCACACACGTGAGCAAGTGGTAGGGTGCTGTGGACCCCAAGGCCTGAGCTGGCACACAGGGACACACTGTGAAGACACTGATTCAAAACACACCCCTTGGGGCCACTGCTGTGGTGTAGTGGGCTAAGCCTCCGCCTGCGGCGCCAGTAGCCCATACGGGTGTCCTGGCTGCTCCTCTTCTGATCCAGCTCTCTGCTAATAGGCCTGGGAAATCAGCTTAAGATGGCCCAAGTCCTTGGGCCCCTGTACCCTCATGGGAGACCTGGAAGAAGCTTCTGGCTTCAGATTATCCCAGCTCCAGCCATTGTGGCCATTTGGGGAGTGAATCAGTGGATGGAAGACACCTCTCTTTCCCTCTCTCTCTCTCTCTCTCTCTCATTACCTGTAATTCTACCTCTCAGATCAACAACAACCAAAAAATCTTCAAAACAAAAACCACACCCCTTTCCAAGGGTGCAGTTCCCTGGGGGGCATTTAGCCTGGCCGTTTATAGCCCCGACTGGTTGTTTAAAAGGGAATGAAAGCGCCCACGACCCTTTAGCAGATCCACGAAACACCAGAAGAAGTGCTTGGGTTCGAGAACCAGCTCCACTCCCAGTTCCAGCTTCCTGCCACTGCGCCCCCTGGGGGAAGCAGCAGGGAATGGCTCAAGTGGTTGGGTCCCTGAATGGAGTTCCCAGCTCCATTGGGGAGCTCACTCTGTCTGCCTGTCTCTGCCTCTCAAACAAATAAAAAGTTAATGCACCCGTATGATAGACACTGCCAGGGTGCTAAGCACGGGCTACATGCCAGGAGGCTGAAACAGGTCATCTCACTTATCCCCAGAGAAGGCGTGACCACGAAGCCACCCATTCTACAGGTGAGAAGACTGAGACTCAAGATTCTAGAATGGCCTAAAGGTGCTGAGCTGACAAGTGGCAGACTCGAGTTTGGTCTGTATGACTCCAAAGCCTAGATTTTTATTCACAAGATTTCCCAGTTTGAAATCCTTTATAACTTCAAAAACTTGCACGTGTCCCTACAAACCCGCAGCTTTATTTCTGGCTCCGTTTGATGGACAGGAGCCCATCTGATGACAACAGTCTACGGCGACAGCAGTCTCCCTTGCAAACAGCTGTCTAAGCGGTTTACTGTCCCCGAAGCCCTGTGTGTCGCAGGAACACACACCTGCCAGGTACGGACTGCTCAGACTGCAGCCACGCCTCGTGGGGTGCACAGCCGTGGGCTTCAGTCTCCAGCCCACAGGAGGGGCTCTCTGGTGTGGTCAGCATCCCCCACACGCCCGTGGCCTTGGCCTGTCTGCTGTGCCTTCACCTCCTGAGAAGTGGGCTCTGTGAACAGCCCCACGGCCTCCCTGCCTAAGCCTCTCCTCCCCACTCCCGCAGCGCTGGCCCAGAGCCACTTCTTCCACAGCTCCCCGAGGCTTCCGGCCTCAGCCCTCGGCCTTGGCAGTGGCTCCACCCCACAGCGGTCCTCTTGGCCTCCTCCAGCCGTGCCATCCCTGGGGCAGGCTCGGGGCAGGCTCTTGTGTGTCTCTGGTCCTGCCCAGCCTTCCCTTGCATTTTACTGTCACTCTCTTAACTGCACCTCACAGGTGTGCACATGTGCATGTGTGTGTGCGTGGTTTTAACTTTTTACTTATTTGAAAAGGAAAGAAGACAGGTATCTTCCACTGGCTGCTTCATTCCCCAAATGCCTGCAATGGTGAGGGCTAGACCAGGTTGAAGCCAGGAGCCCTGAACTCGAGTCAGGTTTTCGGGGTGGGTTCTGGGACCCACGCACTTGAGCCATCGCTTGCTGCCTCCCACAGTTCACGTGGGCAGGAAGATGACATTGGGACGTGGATGTGCTGCAGCCTTGTGTGGGGGCACCATCAGGTGGGGGCACCGAGGGGGGCTTGCCCGAGAAGGGTGGAAAGACAGGCAGCTGAGAGGAGACACGGGGCTCGGGGCGGTGGGATTGGCTGTCAGAGTCGGGGCGGGCGGGACATTGCCATGGAGTGACACGCTCCAGGGGATCACTCTCCCATGACTCTCTGTGGGTAATTAAGCATCCTCTCGTCTTGGAAAAATAAGGAGATGAGGGGAGTGCGGAAGTACAGGGGATTATGTTAAAAAAAAGGGGGGTGATTATTTCACCATTGATAGACAAATGCCCCAGTGATTCACCCTGTCTGCTCGTTCCCTCCCAACACGGGGTGATCTAAACACGGGCTGCCGGGCAGCAGGCGAAGCGTGCCCAGTTCCCACATATACACTCGGCTCCCACACACGCGCTCAGCTCCCTGCTTCATTCACACGCCAGGTGTGTTTCGAGCCTAACTGTTCCACAGCAATACTACTTGGACGTGAACTTCAATGCAGAGAAAGCTTTTGTGGGTTCTAGTTTGGGGCCTTCACTTCCACACTTTTCAACTACGCTGATGACAGTCACGTGGAAGCTGCAGTCCGCAAACCGCCCGAGAGCAGGGCGGTCCCTCCACTTCACTGACCCCCAGCCCACTCCCCTGGCCCGGGCCGCAGGGAAGGAGCGCCCCTGGGTACCTTGATGCCTTTGGTGTCCTCTTCGTCAAAGGAGCCGATGTCAAAGGCGTCGGCGGCGTTGACTTCTCCACGGGGAGGAATCAAGGGCGGCGGGTACTGGAAGAGCCAAGGCAGAGTGGCGCGGTGACCAGATGGCCCCGACGGCCCCACCGCAACCTGACCGTCAACCAAGGAAGCACGGCGTGGGGCGCCAACAAACGTGACTGTCGGGGTTCTACAAACCGCAGCACGGGGGCCACCTAAGAGCCCCTGCCCTGAGCAGCCCCAGAGGAAGCCCCACCCTTCAGACAAATGTGGGGGCGCAGGGTGGGGAATCATGTTCCAAAGTCTTCAGCAATGCGTTTTAAAGATTTATTTATTTCAAAAGCAGAGTGACAGAGAGAGAGAGAGAGAGAAGAGACAGAGACAGATCAAGATCCCATCCAATGTTTCACACCCCCCCACCATGCACACACAAATGCCTGCAACAGCCAGGGAGGGCTGAGCCAGGAGCCAGGAACTCCATCTGGGTTTCCCATGTGGGTGGCCAGGGCCCAGGCCTATGAGCCATCATCCGCTGACTGCCAAGTGCATCATCAAGGAGCAGCCGGGTCTTGAATCAGGAACTCTGGGACGCAGGCCTTCTAAGTGGAGGTTTAACTCACTGTGCCACAACACCCGTCTTTTAAATCAGTTTTAAATATAACAAAGTCCAAGACTTCATATGCCCTCTGCTCACCTTTAAAAATTATTAATTATTATTTATTTGAAAGTCAGAGTGAGAAATCTTCCATCTGCTGGTCACACCCCAAATGCCTATAACAGCTGGGGCTGTGATGGGCCCAAGCCAGGAGCTGGGAACTCAGTCCAGGTCTCCCGAGTGAATGGCAGGAACCCACGTGCTCGCACAGCGGCAGGAAGCCGGAGTTGGGAGCAGAGCAGCCCACGTGACCCCAGGCGGCACCAATCGCCCACCACCAGCGCCACATGAAGCAAGTGCGTGCTTTCGGGTAAAGCAGGACCACCTTCAAGGTGCCTGGGCGGCGAGCAGCCCGGGGCCACTGGTGACTGAGCAGGATGCTGCCCTCTGACACTAACCCGGCAGGACTGGCAGCCCAGCCTCTCTTCGCTACAGAAAACCACCCCTCCCCTGTGGCCCGAGACCACGCAAGCCTGAGTCCCAAACTGCTAACCAACATTTTGTGTTCTAAAAAAATCTAATTTGGGATGTGTCCGTTAACAATGAGAACTCGATACACCTTAGAGGGAAGAAAGGAAACGATGCTGATGAACAAAATCATGGTAGCTTTTTAAATTACGTGGCGCAGGACTAGAGGACACCAAAGTTTAGGACCCAAGTTTCCTGTGCAGTTCCATATGTAAGCCACGGATTGGTAGTCAGAATTCAAGGAGACAAGGTCGAACTTTTGAAGAGGCTGAATTACATGGACATTTGAATTCAGCACACAGCAGATCCGTTATCGTTGTTAACCTGCAGAGAGCTTTTACAGTCACCCCTCAGGACCTGCGGGGGCACACACTGGTTCCAGGACCCCCTGAGGACACCGAAAGCCGTGGATGCCCGAGTCCCTCACAGCAAACGGCCTAGGGGCTGCACATAAGCTGCCCATGCACTCCTGCGCACTGTCAGGCCCCTCCAGATCACTTCCAACTGAACACACTGCAGATGGACACGAATAGTTGCTACGCTGCACTGTTCACAGAGAAGGACGACCAAAAAAAGATAAACCTGCACGTGGGCGCCAGGGCTGTGGCGTAGCAGGTAAAGCCGCTGCCTGCAGTGCCAGCATCCCCCATATGGGTGCCGGTTGGAGTCCTGGCTGCTCCACTTCCGATCGAGCTCCCTGCCATGGCCTGGGAAAGCAGTAGAAGATGGCCCAAGTGCTTGGACACCTGCACCTGCATGGGAGACCCAGAAGAAGCTCTTGGCTCCTGGCTTCAGATCCGTACAGCTTTAGCTGCTGTGGCCAACTGGGGAGTGAACCAGAGGATGGAAGACCTCTCTCTCACCTTCTCTCTCTGTGTAACTCTTTCAAATTAATAAATAAATCTTTAAACAAAAACACACATCCACACGTGTTCAGTTCAGACACCCAACAGGGCTGGCAGCTGCAGGGTCGGAGGGGGATGCGTGAGGGGGGTGGAACAGGCAGGTGCAGGGGGCCCCAGTGCTGGGAAACCAAGAGGAGAAGGTGCCCCCAAGGGAGCAGCAGCCGGGGAGCAGCGCTCTGAGGACACAGGGACACAGGCAGGACCCCGGCGGGGGGCAGACCCGGGAGCCAGGAGAGCACGGAGCGGCGGGGGCGGTTCCGGCCCCCGGAGTGGGCGCGCAGGGAGTACCTTCTGCAAGTAGACGTGCTGCCAGTCGACGCCCCTGAAGAAGCTGTGCTCCTTCACTTCCTGCGCCCTGGGGAAGACACAGGCACAGTCAGGCCGCGCCGGGGCCGAGTCTGCCTTTAGGAACGCAAGAAATCCCTTTGCAAAAATCGTCTCCTGAGAACACGGCGGGATCACGGCCAGGTCTTCGAGAAAGTAAAATCCGCTTCTTGGAAGCCAATGCAGGGAAGGCAGTGACGTCTAGAAACACCGCACGCCGTGCCTGGGGCCATTTATTTAGGACGTTTACTCTAGTTTCAGATGGCCCAGGAATTTCTCTCTCTCACACACACACACCACATACATACGTGTATATACGACCACACACAGAACCTTAAAAGTGGGAAAGGACAACGTGCTTATGCACACACATGCATATGTATACACATGTTTATTTATGAATCTATCCATATGGAGTGACCTCAAAAAGTTCACGGAAAAATAGAATGAAAAAATGACATGACTTCTCCGTGAACTGTCTACAGCACCCTTGTTTGTACGGGATAATCCTATAGCCATGAGAACCTAACTTATGGAAGAATTAAACTGGAGATTTACACATTAAGGAAACACCTAAGCAAATGTCTGTGGGTTATGACAGTAGCACAGTAGGAGAATAACAGGAACACACAGCACTGAACATGTACTTGGAAGCAGACAAGAAATCGAATACTAGCATGTACGCCAAAGCCCTTTATCAACCAGAGAAACAAGCACTCTCGAAGGTCATGATTATCTTCTAAATCACACCCTGGGGCATGGTGAGTGCACACAGTCCCTGAATGAATGAATGAATGAATGAATGAGTGAATGAATGAGCCCACATCAGAATCCCTGTGCACCTTCATTGCCCGACGTGTCCATCAGTGTCTAAATATTGAATGTGGTAAACTAAACAAGAACTTCGCTTGCATGTATCCAAGCAATTAAAGATACCCTAGAGAGATGGGGCCGGCATTGGGGTGCAGGGGGTAAAGCTGCCACCCATGTCGCTGGCATCCCCTTTGGGCACCGGTTCGAGTCCCAGCTGCTCCTTGCGAATGCACCTGGGAAAGCAGAAGAAGATGGCCCAAGTCCTTGGGCCCCTGCACCCACATGGGAGACCCAGATGAAACTCCTAGCTGCAGACTGGTCCAGTTCTGACCACTGGGGCCATTTGGGGAGTGAACCAGCTGATGGAAGATTTCTCTAACTCTTTCAAATACATAAAGAAAACTTAAAAAAAAAAAACAAAACTTCCCTGGAGAGGAGGCTTTCTGGTCCAAGCCAGTGATGGAGCACAGGTAAGCGGCTTTGCTCCTTGTCAACAACTACTCAAAGGACAGGAGTGGAACATGGAGGTCTAAGCCCACAACAAAGAGTGGGAGCGGGCCATCAGCCTTCAGGCTGGGCAGTGGACAGAGGAGCAGTAACTGACAGCAAGAGAGGCACAGCTCCAGCCCTGAGCGCTGGCTGCACATGGACACACGTGAGGCCTGGGAAGACGGCACAGGACTGAGATCCAGTGGAGGGAGCCTCTCACTCTGACTTGAGCATGTACACACGACACGGACTATACCCACTTCCCCCAAGACACCTGCAGGTAGGTGTGGAAAACCCCTGAAGGGGTCTATTGGGAAGAAATTAAACCTGTGGCTGGTGATGCAGCGTAGCAGGTAAAGCTGCTGCCTGCGTTGGCACCACTCTGTATGCCGCTCCACCTCTGATCCAGCTCCCTGCATAACAGCCTGGGAAAAGCAGAAGGTGGCCCAAGTGCTTGGGCTCCTACCCCCTACGTGGGAGACCTGGATGAAGCTCTGGCTCCAGCCTAGCCCAGTCCTGGCCATCATGGCCATCTGGGGAGTGAACCAGAGGATGGAAGAGCAATCTCTCTGTGTCTCTCTCTGTAACCCTTTCAAATAAGATAAAAATATTTGTTTAAAAAAAGAAATTACATCTGATAAATATTTTTAAAGAGAAATCAACAAAAGCATTGGAAGTGTAAATGATCAGAAAGTATAAGAATCAAAGCAAAGGCACAGGTGACATCAAAGTCAGGAGCACAGAGCACCGACCTAGAAACCCAACACCCATCTCACAGGAGTTCTAAGAACAACGGAGGAGACAGGGAAATCAGCCACATCAAATACACGTGTCCCCCAAGCTGAAAAGCATGAGCCTCGGAGTGAGAGGGACTCCGCGCGTCTGACGTCACGCCCGGTAACTGAAGCCCACGGCCAGCAATGACTGCTCGCTCACACACTGTGAAGCAGTTCCTTCAAAGATTTGGGGCGGAAAATCCTTATCAATGGGGAATTCTACACGGAGCCTGCACCGGTCAAGTGTGAGGACGGCGGGGGGATGTCTCAGATAGGTAAGGACCAGGGTGTCTGTCTCTCACGGCCTTCCCTAAGCACTTCCTGGAGAACATGCCCCGGCGAAGCGTGTGGGGCGCCCAGACCGAGTCAACGGCAGGTGCGAGTCGGGAGCGACAAGTGAGCGAGTGCTGGGTGGGATGACGCCCACCGGCAGGAACAGCGCCCGGTTCTCGCGGGAGCTGCAAGGTTGGCTCCTCCCTGAAAGAAAGATCAGGGCAAACAGAAACTCCACAGCTGTGATATTTTCAAGTATTTTATATGTAAAAATACTTCAAAAAGTTTGTGGGAAACCAAATGGAAAGATGTTAATTTGGATTCAAAAAATTTTGACATCCATTTAGTTTTTCCACAATATATATTTTCCATGAAATTCTTCTTTTGCAAGATTTATTTTACTGGCAAAGCAGTTGCAGAGAGAGAGAGAGAGAGAGAGAGAGAGAGAGCTTCGATCCACTGGTTCAGCCTGCGAAAGACCACATGCAAAAGACCACAATGGCCAGAGACTGGGGCAGGTTGAAACCAGGAACCTGGAACCCCATCTAGGTCTCCCACTAGGGTGGCAGGGGCCCAAGCATCTGGGTCATCTTTCCATGAAATTCTTGAAGGTCCCACAAACACAGGCATGTGTGTGTGTATCTTATAGATGTATATTCCATATGTATGCACACACGTATGTATCATACACTGCAAATATATTTTATATATGTGTGTATGTGTGTACATAACTTCAGGTTTATTACCAGGTAAAGTAGAAACTATGTAACGAACATTTATGTTGCTACGATACCCTAAATACTACTTCATTTGCAACTTTTGAAGTCAACCAATATACAAAGTGCAAAGGCCGGACGTGATCAACAACAATCACAAAACAGGGAATAAACAGCATCAACTTGCTGATGTAAAAACAAAAATGGACACGACAGAAATCAGAGAGGAAGACAATGGAAGGCGAGAGTGTTAGAATCTGCATGGCACAAAGGGGGACTACTCAAGAGGTGACTGCGCGTGGTTCCTGGGAACAGGCACAACTGGACCAGGACACATCTGAAAGGCACCAAGGTAAGCAAGAGGAGCCGCGACTAGTCATTCAGCTCTTTCGAGCGGTGGCAGAAAGATACGGCTGTAGAGGACACTGAGTGAGTGGAATCTTCAGCCGTGGTAGCACCAGTAGGCAACTTCTCAAAGTGAAAGATATGTAATTTAGCCACCTATACACTATACATAGATAGGGATAACATGCATGTGTGTATCTCTACTGCTCCAAAAAATATGCACACACACACACACACACACACACCCATGCCACACGTGCATATAACAGTTAAAACATGCAGACACGCATATACACATATGCCACACATGCAAGTGACACTCAGCTAAGAACACGCACACACCTACACATACATGTCACACATGCACGTAACTCTCAGTTAAACGTTATTGGTACGCGAAGCAAGCCTGGGGGTGGGGAAGATCAGGGCGAAGGTGTTATTAGCCGCCCTTCTATAAGCTTTCCAGAGACCACTATTCTGGGGGTTTGGGGACCAGGAAAAATGTGCAGATTCCTTAGGAATCAGCATTTACTGCAAAAAGCATGCACAAGCCAGCGGGCGCTCAGTTCCGAGAAAGCACGAGACGGCGTTGGAGAACCTGGTCAGGCTATGGAAACGCTGCCACAGCAGATGCGACCAAAGTCGATTTTTAAAGATAAAACTGCTACCGACTTCTTGACAACACAACACACAGGAACATGTGCGCGTGTACTTCCTGTGTGGGTAGGTTTCCCCTTGGGTCCCCGTGGGAGAGCTTTAAGGAGCAGGAATGACCTTTGCTCCGTTAGAAACCACCGCTGGGCTTTCCCGGGAGAGACAGAGACAGGCGGGGACGATGGCCTACCCGCCTCCGTGACAGCCCAGCCGCTTGCCCACGTCTCGCTGGAGCAGGCCTTCCAAGAGAGACTGCAGCTCCGGGGAGAAGGTGTCGGGGAGCTCCACGTTCTGCGGAGAGGCAGAGGGAGGGGGCTCGAGGCCATCCGCACACCGCTTACCCTGGGTAAGAGGGGTGCTCAGAACGGCAGGTGCACCTGGAAGGGATGTGTGCTCTCAAGCAGCAGCAAGGGGTCTCAGAAGCTGCCGGCAGGCTGGCAGGGGCCGGGCTGGGGTTGGGCAGGACCCAGACCCCCCGGCCCCCGTGCTTCTGCTCTCAGCTCTGCCTCTGCCTCACGCTGGTCCGTTAGCAAAGCTGAGTCTGTGGCCCTGGTACCTCTTCCTGGGCATTTTCCTTTCAGAAATTCCTCTGGGGACTGTGGCTTTGTTTAGGTCAAGAAAGCAAAAGTACACATTCTAGTGTTTTGAGTTGCTTTATGTGGTTTACGTTGTGGTCATTCTATTAGTAACGGGAAGAAACAGGAGAGCTGTGATGCAACCAGGAAGGCAACTTCTCGGCCGCTTACCACGGTGAGCGTCATCCGGTCAATCTCGTGCTTGTCTTTGGTTTTGTGCTGCCTGAAAGGGCTGTGGCTGCAAAAGGAAAGAAGATTCTGTTAAAATATGTCGTCAGGTAACTCGGCACGTAGCACCGGTTAGTGTCTGGAAAGGGCCGTACGCCGGGTCACTGTTCACTCAAAAACACACAAAGGCACAAGGTGCAAATGTTCATCGTTCCTAGAGAAAAATCAGTGACCAAGGGGAGCCAGAATTACACCTTTCTTGAACTGCTTGATCCTCACTTGTATGAAAACATGGCACTAAAATACAGCTTTCGGGGCCAACGCTGTGGCTCAGTAGGCTAAGCCTCTGCCTGCAGTGCCCGTATCCCATATGGGCGCTGGTTTGAGTCCCGGCTGCTCCACTTCTAATCCAGCTCTCTGTTATGACCTTGGGAAGCAGTAGACAATGGCCTAAGTCCTTGGGACCCTGCACCCACGTGGGAGACCTGGAGGAAGCTCCTGACTCCTGGCTTTGGATTAGCTCAACTCTGGCCATGAGGTCATTTGGGGAGTGAACCAGCAGAATGGAAGACACCCCCCCCCCCACCGGGCTCTACCTCTCTCTGTAACTCTATCTTTTGAACAAATAAAATAAATCTTTTAAAAAATACATCTTTCCAATTAAGGTAACATGAGAAAGAAGCACGTGTTTAATATTTCTTTAGTTAGCCAATGGGTAGTCGTGCAAACGTCATTCACATACGGCTCATCACAGGCACATCTGAGCTAACGACAGCCTTCATAGAATTTCTTCAGGTCCCTAAAGCAACATAATGAAGGGCCATCAAACCAAAACAAGATCAAGATGAACACGATTCACCTCTAAGGAATAGCACTTTGAAGCAGTAACATGTCCTCTGGAGATCACCGAGACCAACGCATCATGCCCCATCTAACCCTCCTGGTTGCAAGCTCTCGCTGCATGCGTGACCTACACAGACAGCCCCAGAAAAGCTGGGTCCAAACTGCAAGGTCACTGTTTCCTGGCTTGAGTCCGATACAAGCCCTCCAGGTCAATCTTTCTCCTGGGAACTGGAGCTCACGCCGCTGTATGTCAAAGTGTCAGTGAAGGAGAAACTAAAGCACCACAACACCCATGAGAGCGGCCAAGACACTGACGGTATACAGGAGGAGCCTAATAAAGTCACAACTGAGAAACGAACAAAGATGACTTAAGTATCCAGCATTAGAACAATATGGCCTTATGCATGTAAAATTAAAGGAGGGAGATGTAGGATTGAGTTTTCTTGCAGAAAGACATGCTCATAAAGTCATGACTCCTACCCACTTATTCCCACGCTGTGTATGATATGATCTGAGACAGATGTCGTATAAAACATTGCTGACTGGTAGGTTCATTAACTGGATCAGAACGTTGAAGACCAAAGGGGTTCTCAAAAAGAACTTAAATGCCGCTGCCCCCTGCGCTGTTACTTAGAGGGACTGAGCCGCGGTGCTTGGGAGCAACGGAATCACACACGGGGCCCCGGGAGACGCGGCTGCATTCCACGGCACTTACTGTCTTCACGAGAGAGGGCACTCTCCTCCTTACTGTGCCATGAAACACAGAGCAATGCCCGACTCTTAAAAGAAGGAAAAAAACAAGCAAAACCAGGTGAACTAACTCATGAGTATGTGCTGATCTTTAAAATAGATTTTGATTAGAGAAACCTTTTCCGTCTTGTTTCCAAGGAGAGAAAGGTATAATGACTGTGATTCAAATACAAAGAGGATGATAACAGCTTGTAAAATGGAAGATATGATTTTAAAGCATGTATCATAAGTGTATCATACTTGTAGCATTCTTTTATATAAAAACCACAGAAATGGTATGTTTACAGTTCTAGGGAAAAGGAATAAAAACTTGTTAAACTGTATTAAAATCTTAGTATCTCTGCTTGACATCTGTTTCCACCCTATGGTGTTTTAAAGATTTTATTTATTTGAAAGGCAGAGTTAAGGGTGGGGAGGCAGAGATGAGAGATCGAGGTCTTCCATCTGTTGGTTCACTCCCCAAATGGCCTCAATGACTGGGGCTGGGCCAGGCCAAAGCCAGGAGCCAGGAACTCCATCCAAGTCTCCTATGTGGGTGCAGGGGACAAGCACTTGGGCCATCTTCTGCTGCCTTCCCAGGAGTATTAGCAGGGAGCTGGATCAAAAGCAGAGCAGCCAGGTGCAAACCACTACTCATACAGGATGCCAGCGTTGCAGGTGGCAGTGTAACTTGCTGTATCACACCAGTCCCCACAATTTTTTTAAGTATTTTTTTTTGAAAGAGAAGAGGGAAACATAAACACACAAAGCTCCCATCCTCTGGTTCAATCCCCAAAGGCCAGCAACAGGCAGCACTAGGAGCTCCACCCAGGCCTCCTGTGTGCAGCAGGAACACAGTCACTGAGCCGGCACTGCTGGCGCCCAGGGTCCGCACCAGCAGGAAGCTGGGATCAGGAGCTAGGGCTCAGCACTCCCACATGGGACATGGGCATCACATCTTCCCCGCCCTATGAGGGTTCCCAACATCAGACTAGGAAGAGCTCCTGTGTGCTGGTGAGTCCGCTGACACAGCTCCCGTGGGCAAAGCCATGGGCCCCACTCCTTCACCCCGTCACAGTCGCAGTGACCACTCCACAGCACACGTGGAGAGTTCATCACCCTCTTGCTAGTAAGAGGTGGGTCCTCGAGGAGTGACGCGTGGGGAGGGCTCCACCCCCAGAGAGGGACTAAAACCACCATCAGGAGTGGGCTGCTTATCCACGGGGTTGGTTACTGAGGTGGGCTGGTTATCCACGTGGCTTAGTTACTGAGGTGGGCTGGTTATCCACGTGGCTTAGTTACTGAAGTGGACTAGTTATCCATGGGGTTAGTCACTTGAGTGGGCTGGTTAT